TGCGACTTAGAAGAAGATCATAACATTGTATTAGTAATCAGTGCAGAAATTTGGGCATTTTCAAAGGGTTAACAAACTCATTTTTGCCACAATAAATATAAACACAATTCTAAATAAAATAAATAAAATGGAGTTTACGGAGAGCTGGAAGTGGCTCAAATTGGGAACATTTATCACACACAAAAAGCAATTATTCTTGCTAACTGCTCAAGCAATTAGTACCCTTTGTTTGGGATCTTAGCACTTCAAGCTTTAGTCGCTTAGCTGGCGATAAGTATCAGCCACACTCTGCAGTTCAGAGGAAACATGTCTAAACAAACTACACAGCCTCTCATTCCAAACGTTGGCCCATTTACAAATGTGAGATCTAAAGGATTGAGATGGACCCTCACTGCAGGACTAACTTCAGCTGTTTGTGAGCGTGGCATGAGAAAAGCTCATGCTGTTATTTTAAGCTACACCTTCAGCGATCAACCAAATCCCACTGGGTGTTTATCAGTCAGTGATGAACCAAATCCCGTCAGTGCCCCATCCTCATAGCAAAGCAGTGCTAGAGAAAGCTTTCACTACAATTATGTATATAATTATATAATAAAAGTTTATTTTCTTACTTGTTCTGTTTTCTTATAATTCATATAATCTTTTTTTCTTTTTCCCTTTTGCACAAAGGGAAACAGAGATGGATGATACAGCTTCTGTTAAAAATGATGACTGGATAACAACGTCCAAAACACACATGCATGTTGTTATGAATCCTGTCCATTGACTTCCATCCGATCGCCACCAGAGGTCACTCGTCCATCATATTGACTCTCTCACTACACAGACTGTTACACTTCACCATGGGCTACATTTCCCATCATCCATTGCACTGATTGCACACAGCTGTAACCAATCACACACACACACTATATTACACTCACTCAGATCCTTCTCAAACTGCCGAGTATTGTTTGCGTATATCGCTCTCCTAGTGGTAGCACATTATGGAGCCAGTTTCCTGCCCTAGTTTCTAGTCCTTAGTTCCTAGTCATAGTCTTGTCTTGCCTGCTTTCCCGTGTTACCTGATTCTTGCCTGTTTATCTTGGATTAATCCTTTGCCTTTCTGTTTCGGACTGTGTTTGCACCTCGCCTAGACTATTGCTCGTGTTATTGGATTTCTCCTCTTGTCAAGCCGTCTGGATAACGTTCGCTGTCGACTGACTCACGCCCGTTTAGGATTACACTTTTGTCTTGCCCTCAATATACCTGTTTACCATTGTCAGAACCTTGCCTGTTTTATGACCACGCTCATTCGCCCCGTAACACATGTAATACACTGATTCAGAAAGCAAAGTGACAGGTGCTCCACAGACTTTGGAAAAAGGATTTTCTGTGGACTTAGCTAATAGTTTTGTCTTGTATTTGGCAGAAGCGGGGTTGGGGAATTGGAAGCCCCAAACGTTTGATAGACACATCAAGTCTTGCAAAATCCAGATTTTCAGCACATTTCAGTAATGAATTTGATGATCTCACAACTCAGTCAATAGAGTGCTGACATACTAATCATTCATAAAGCATGTCTGCTCATTTAAATGGTGCTCTTATATTGTGTTGTCACATGGACTCCCAGTCCACTTGTGCTGACAAAATGCCAAGGTGGCAAAGACATTGGCTGACAGCTGGGAGAGACATCAAGTGTGTGTCTGTGTGACATCAGTCCACCATACACACACCTTGTGTATTATAGATGATCTAACCAACATATTTACATCAGTGCATCCATGTGGTTATTAAAATTCCTGCACACACAAATAACCCTAAAATTCTCACGAGCTGCCTGCATTTAATCCTCCATAGTAGATATCCATAGATATAAATACATCTGAGCCCACGTTTGTGGATGTGTGTGTGTGTGTGTGTTTGCGTGTGCGGTTTAAACACAATGCAGGGGCCACAGTGTACATGATAGTGAATGTATTGTGCCACAGCTGATTCTTTTCTCAGGATATAACATCAAACATTACCCCACATTAAATCCAGAAAGAGAAATAGGGGGAAAGAGGGAGGAGAGATGCAGTGAAGCAGATAAAGACAGATACAGAGAAATGAAAGAGCGTGAGAAAGAGAGAGAGAGAGTATGGAAATGACTTGTGTTCTCGCTGCATAGAACTGACATCAAAGCAAAGTGACAGGTACGGTTGCGCAGAGCAGCGAATGCCCTAAGTGAAATCTGACACACAAATCTTATTTCGCACCCCACTCTGTCCATCTCTCTCGGATTCATCCGTACGTCAGCTAGCGGCACACATTCAGAGCATGCTAAATATTATATTCCCTTTCCTTGTTAATGCAAACCCCACCACCAACAGCCGTTAGACTTCTCTAGAGATAATTTCTTCTGCAGCTTTACCTTCAAGTGATCAAAGCACAGGCCAATTCACACATGATGAGCAAAGTGTACATATGCAGCAAAAAAGAGCAACAGTAGTATGTGGTCTCTAGCTCAGGTCTGTCCTTTAAATTAAGTCTAGAGGATTTTATTTCAAGAGTCCACTTTAGACATTCTACCAACTATAAGTAAAATTGCAACTACATGTCAACTAACTCTCATTAGAGTATTAGTGGACTCTTTGGTTAGGGTTAGTAGAATAAGTTGACATGTATTTGGCAGACAGCAGATATTAAGAAACTAATACTCTAATGGCTGCTACTTGACGTGTAGCTGCAAAATTGGTAGACTTATACTGTAGTTCAGTGGTTCCCAACACTGGTCCTGGAGGCACCCCAACACTGCATGTTTTGCATGTCTCCTTAATCAAACACACCTGATTCAGATCATCAGCTCATTAGTAGAGACTCCAAGACCTGAAATTGGTGTGTCAGAGAAAGGAGACATGCAAAATGTGCAGTGTTGGGGTGCCTCCAGGACCAGGGTTGGGAACCACTGCTGTAGTTAATAGAATGTCTAAAGTGGACTATTGAAATAAAGTGTAACCAAATCCTCTATACTTACATTGAAAGTAACCAACCCAAGAAACTAACCCTAAACCAAATCCTGAACCTATTCCTATAGTACATTTTGTTCATATATTACTCTGTACTTACACTGTAATTACAAGTAACAAAGACACCTTAAAATAATGTGTAACCAGCACCATTAATGATCCTGCTGATGTAAATTGGTCAAGAGAAGATGCACAGGAAGTAAAATAAATGATGACAGCGTGTCTGTAGATAGCCACACTTCACAGTCAGAAGGGTTCAAGATTCAATGAATCTCTGTAATGGTTTGAAGAAAGCTCTGCCGGGAGACGTATGAGGAACTGGCTTTTGAACACGGCAATTTAACATAAATCAGTCCTTTCTCCTATGACTGGAAAAACAAAAATATGCAAAAAGTAAACATGCATCATACATTTATCATGGTGCTCACAATTTATGTCCTTTCTCAGCTATCAATAAATAGTGCCCACGCTGTCCCTGCTGTTTTAGCAAGAAAGATTTATACTGTCAAGCTCGTCAAAAAAAAAAAAACATTTGTTTTCCTTGTGCGCAATATTTCGTACAATAGTTAACAATAGGATATTTTATAGTATACAATAGCTCTGTGTGAAGAATAACAGACCACTTAATATATTCATTAAAAATCTTCCTCTCTATTGTAGTGCATCACTGATGTCGCTCCTCACAAACCTCTATTTCTGAATCCAGGAAAACCTGGATATAGAAGATGCCATGAATGTGATTTAAGAGCTATGACAAAAGGGGCAATTATCACTGAATAACAATTTCCATCTTTATTTGTGTTTGTTCCTCACACAAAGCTCCTCATATGACTTCAGAAGATGTGGAATACAATGCTTCCGTTGTATGGATTACGTTTATCATGTTTTCACACTGCTTCTGTGATGCATGAAAGAAGTCAAATGGTTTAGAACATCATTTTAGGGAGTAAAGCATGATATTTCTAGCAACAAATGGCTAAACATCATCAACCCCTTAAAACGGACTTTTATTAGAACTACAAAGGCTCAACCCTAAAAACAGACCACATATTGTCGGGTAATGCTTTATGATCATAATGCCAAGCTCAGAATTGGATGATCTGTGGATGACGCAAATCTGAGATCAGTGTAATTAAGGCGAAAAGCATTAAGACAGTGCTGTCCTCGGAGCAAGAGTTACTTTATGTGCTTTTATGAATGTGTGTGCCTCTTCAGCTCAGTTTTCACATTTTGTCACAGTCCATAAGTTTACTTTTTGTTTCACAAACTCTTAAAGTCGCAGTGCTTAAAATGCACAGTTTGTCACTAACAGCCATGTATAGACACTCTGTGTGCTCACAGGACGTGTGGAGGGGCTTGCTGGAGGTATTTATAGCCAGACTTTACATTCTCCCATCACTAGACTGGGTGGACCATCAAAGCATGTGACAGCACACAGTGTAACTCAGGGTTTCCCGACCCCGCTTAAACTCTTCCTAATCAAACACACCTGATTCATGTCATTAGTAGAGACTGCAAGGCCTGAAATGGATGGGTCAGATAAGAGAGACCTCCAAAATGTGTATTTCTGATTAGGTTAGGAACCACTGGTGTAACTGACCACCACATGTTTGTTACATAATTCATCTGATCTGTTTCTTAACAGATGAACTCTGTACATGAATGAACAAATAACACATTCCATATTCAAGACGTTCACTTTCATCTCCAAAAATATCTCATAAACTATAACTAATAAACTAGCAAAAAAAAAAAAAA